ATGAAATGCAGTTTAAACGAAGGACACTCACAAGTACAACCTACCAATAAAGCATAGCAGTGTGGAAGATTCATGACTCTATACCATCATTTCATTTTGGGGACAGGGCCTGAGGACTATTTTGTCGACCACACAGTGTTCGCTGAGTGGCTGATGGGACATGTATGGAGAATATATCCCCTCTCTTCTTCTGTCTTCGCCTTAAAAAGGTTGGAACGTTGTGTTGTGGTTTGCAGCTAGGTTGCGACATCGACACATTTCGACGTAAGAATATTCAACTTCAGCACACCGCGATTTAGTTTGCCTTCATCTGCATGCCTGTTGCAGCAGGGGACAGTGAGTTTACTCCCCCCCCCCCCCCCCCCCCCGCGCCCCAAAATAGTATCCTGAAAACCACACAGGGGTGGGGGTGTTGTGGAGAGCACCTTCTTCCTCTTGCCTCTCAGGCAGATGCACTCCAACTTTAAAGGAAGCTCTCAATTAGTCGACTCCTACGACATGCTTGTTGGGGTGGCAGTGGGTCTGCTCTTGCTTGCCCCACAATCAGGCCCCGGAACCTTCACGGGGATCATGGGGTGTGTTATGCAACACTGTTCTACAGAAAATATCCGAATTCTGTGTTTTTTTTTTGTTTTGTGACACCTTCTTCATGTTTCCCTTCCTCCTCATCGTCAAGTACTCGTCCTTCATTACTAACACGACGACCCCATCTGCCCCACTACCACCTGCTTCTTGTTCTAGTGTACGGAGTGTGAAAAACACACGATTATTTGGGAAGATGGAAGCTGTTTTTTAATTTCTTGTCCTTGCTTTATCATCATCATCATCATCATCATCATCATCATCATCATCATCATAATCATCATCATCATCATCATCATCATCATCATTATCATCATCATCAAGTGCCTTGCCAGCTGGCTTAGGCGCTCATGCATCTCCACAGATCTCGGTCTTAGGTGTTCTGGATCAATTCCACTAATGATATTCCTCCAAGCCACTGTCTTGAGCCATCAGTCATCATTAATTTTTGTCTGTCTCTGCATCTTATACCTTTGTATATATTGGTTAAAAATAAAATGGTAAGAATTTAGCCCCAAATCATCTACGAATATTACACCCAGAGATTTTGTTTTCGTTCTGGCACAGCTAGCTCCAGCAATAAACCGAGTAGGTCTACGGAAATTCCCGTTTTTTTTAGGCCGGTACACAGGCGGTCTGTGCTCACCATTTTTATAGAGTAAATTTTTCACACTTTAACTACAAACCTGCAACATATTTTATTAAATGAATTATCTTTATAAAGAAAATAAGTAAGCCATTAGAAAATAGAATAATAATAATAATAATAATAATAATAATAATAATAATAATAATAATAATAATAATAATAATATATTCTATAATATATGTTGCAAGTTAATAAAACTGCTGGCCGTGCTCTCTGGCGAACCCTCACATTACTTAAGACACACCAGACATGTAAGCGAGCCCTAACTTTACTTACGACACACCAGACATGTAAGCGACCACTCACCTTACTTAAGACACACTAGACATGTAAGCGACTCCTCACATTACTTAAGACACACCAGACATGTAAGCGAGCCCTCACCTTACTTAAGACACACCAGACATGTAAGCGACTCCTCACATTACTTAAGACACACCTGACATGTAAGAGAACCCTCACATTACTTAAGACACACCAGACATGTAAGAGAACCCTCACATTACTTAAGACACACCAGAAATGTAAGCGACCCCTCACATTACTTAAGACACACTAGACATGTAAGCGACTCCTCACATTACTTAAGACACACCAGACATGTAAGAGAACCCTCACATTACTTAAGACACACCAGACATGTAAGCGACTCTCACCTTACTTAAGACACACCAGAAATGTAAGCGACCCCTCACATTACTTAAGACACACCAGACATGTAAGCGATCCCTCAACTTACTTAAGACACACCAGACATGTAAGCGATCCCTCACTTTACTTAAGACACACCAGACATGTAAGCGATCCCTCACCTTACTTAAGACACACCAGACATGTAAGCGAGCCCTAACTTTACTTACGACACACCAGACATGTAAGCGAGCCTTAACTTTACTTACGACACACCAGACATGTAAGCGACCCCTTACCTTACTTAAGACATTCTCCAACATCTTGTTATCCCTCCCCTGGTTATGCCTAGCTTCAGCAGCGGCTCGCAACAGGTCACCTCGTTCTTTCTGCCAAGCCACCAGATCTTTCTCCGATTTCTCTTGCATGTCTTTCAGTCGCTTCTCCAGGGCAATGACCTTTCTGCTGACAGACTCGAACTGTTGAAGTGTATATATAAGGAAACTGTTAGCAAAACAGTTTATAAAGTAGGTATGATAAGAGTCACGCTAAAGAGCATTAACAGTCTCTGGTTAAGCACACCAGCATGGAAATCAAGGTGACAGTTTTTAGGGTATGAATCCAATGGCGTAGGAAAAGGAAAGGGGGCGGGTGGGGGGGGGAAGGGGGTGGGGTGGGAGTTGCAGGGATGATGGCCGTCTCCGGTGTTATCAATGAGGGGTGGGTGGGTGGGAGTGGGGTGGCAAAATAAAAAAAGTATTTTTTTTAATGTGTGGGTTCTGGGTCCCTATTGTGTGTGTGTGTGTGTGTGTGTGTGTGTGTGTTGGTTGGAGGGAGGACACGAATAGAACTACTGCCACCCCAACAAGCAGGTAGTAGAAGTCTATTAACTGAGGGCCTCCTACGAAGTCGGAGTGCCTCTGCCTGAAAGGCAAGGAACCAACAGCCTGCATACACATAAGTGAGATCTGTAAAACGGATGCGCCCGCAACACACAGGTTCTGGTACAAGACTAATGTATAGATGTGAACGAACAGCCAACACTTTTGGCCGGAGTTTACAGCCGAAATACGCGAAGGCGAATATATAAATATATGTATACACACACACACACAAAGCTGTCTCATGAAAGTACACACAAACAACGTCAACTTTTTGCTAGTTGCACACACACACACTCACTCATACACACACACATACACACAAAGCTGCCTCATGAAAGTACACATACAGAACGTCAACTTTATGCTAGTTGCACACACACACACACTCATACACACACACACACACACTCGATCATGCATACACACACACACACACAAAGCTACCTCATGAAAGCACACGTACACAACGTAAACTTTATGCTAGTTGCACACACACACACACACACACACACACACACGCTCGCGCATGCATACGCACACACATACACACACACACACACACGCTCGCGCGTGCATACGCACACACATACACACAAAGCTGCCTCATGAAAGTTCACGTACACAACGTCAACTTTATGCTAGTTGCACTCACACACACTCACACACACACCACACACACTCACACACACACTCACACTCACATACACACTCACACACACACACTCACGCATACACACACACATACTTACACACACACACTCACACTCACACACATACACTCACACACACACACACTCACACACACTCACAGACACACACACATTTACACACACACACGATCGCGCGTGCATACGCACACGCATACACACAAATGTGCCTCAAGACAAGTGCTCGTACACAAACCAGCTCAAAGCACTGAAACAAGAGCACCTAGAACACGGACACAAATGCAGAAAACCAGATAGTACATAACACAGCATACATGAACATCACTCGAATGTGTTTATTTTGAATCCACTTAACACGTGCCATTACATTTGTTTCCCCTTTGAATCTTTTACCGAAGACAAGGTGATTGATAGCCCAGCAAACTGCTAAAGTGTTATGCGCGATAGCCCACTTACCTGGAGTGTTTGATGTTGTATTTTCCGCACACTATGTGCAAAGAGATAATTTTAGCGATCGATCATCTCTCTTTTTTTTTTCTGTTGTTGTTGTTGTTGTTGTTGTTGTTGTTGTAGAGTTGCTTAATTTGTAGATTTTAAAACATAGGAGTTTCTAAATTAAAATGCTATTTTAACGATTAACTAAAACACATCTTTCTATCTTGAACTGTGAAAAAGAGAGACCGAATTTCATTGCCGCAGAAGTAAGAGCAGTTGTACAGAATAGATCTAGAAACAAAGCACCATGTCTGGATGGAATTAACACAGAAGAAATCCAAGCATTCGGACAAATCGATGTCGAATAACTAACATAAATTTTTACTATAGCTTGGGAAGAAAGAAAAGTCACAGCTGAGTGGCAAGAAATACTAAGTGTACGGCTTTTGGAAAATTAAAAGTAATAGCAGAGAATATGAAGCAGAGTTATATCACTACTATACAAGAAATTGTCAAGAGAACAAACCAACTTTAAAAATCCTCAAAACCTTAGCAACAGACTCAAAAGAAAACAATATACAACAATTTTCTGTCCAATAATAGACTCATCTGCTACATGCATAAAATAAAATCTGTACAGTCCCAACAGTGTGCATGTCAGGTAAGACCAAAAACACTTGTGCACATTCTGCAGGCCTGCCCTATATACCCATAACTACGAAGAGAAACCTAGCGTCAAGAGAAAAGTGTAAAGAGCAAGCTATGGGAACCGTGAAAGACATGTAAGTGTAAGCAAATTCATATAGGGAGCCGACCTAACGATCTGACCTGAGAATACGAAACCGAACGCAAAGTCTTAGAAGAATATTACTACTCATTCACGTAGGGAAAAGGTTCGCCAAACAACTAGAACAGTTAGACCCATAGTTGAATAACGGTAATAATGACTTCAACACAACGGGGAGTTCTGGTATTGTACTAGGCAGACGGTTGCCTAAATGGGATACCCGGCAATGTCAAGGGAAATAAAAGCGGCTAATGTTATGCTGACCATATAACACAGAAATTGTTGACAGATGAAGTTTAGGTCTAGCACTTCATGTACGAAGCGCCAAAGGCGTGGGGTCTTTTACATTCCAAACACATAATTACCTCCATCACTTTACGTTCAATGTCTCTCTTTTCTTTGGTTAAAGTAATTCGTTCGTTTTCCATCTGATGCAGCAGTTCTTTCCGTTCATGCGCAAACGCTTCATCTCTTGATCTAAGCTGTTCCTAAAATAAAGATGATAAAAAGTTTAACGACACAAGAATAAGTTAGGACAACAAAAGTGACTCAATCTCTAACTGGAGTACTCTGGAAGGTCAATGGTTCAGGTGCTAATAGAGCCGGACTATTTAAAAAAAAAAAAAACATGACCTTGAGCGAGGTTAAATAGAGTACCAGGTTAAGTGCTGATTGGTCTATACAACAGTGGTCTAGCACTTCTTCTTCTTCTTCTTCTTCTTCTTCTGCTTCTGCTTCTGCTTCTGCTTCTGCTTCTTCTGCTTCTTCTGCTTCTTCTGCTTCTTCTGCTTCTTCTGCTTCTTCTGCTTCTTCTGCTTCTTCTGCTTCTTCTGCTTCTTCTGCTTCTTCTGCTTCTTCTGCTTCTTCTGCTTCTTCTGCTTCTTCTGCTTCTTCTGCTTCTTCTGCTTCTTCTGCTTCTTCTGCTTCTTCTGCTGCTGCTGCTTCTTCTGCTGCTGCTGCTGCTGCTGCTGCTTCTTCTTCTTCTTCTTCTTCTTCTTCTTCTTCTTCTTCTTCTTCTTCTTCTTCTTCTTCTTCTTCTTCTTCTTCTTCTTCTTCTTCTTCTTCTTCTTCTTCTTCTTCTTCTTCTTCTTCTTCTTCTTCTTCTGCTTCTTCTGCTTCTTCTGCTTCTTCTTCTTCTTCTTCTTCTTCTGCTTCTTCTTCTTCTTCTTCTTCCTCTTCTTCTTCTTCTTCTTCTTCTTCTTCTTCTTCTTCTTCTTCTTCTTCTTCTTCTTCTTCTTCTTCTTCTTCTTCTTCTTCTTCTTCTTCTTCTTCTTCTGCTTCTTCATCTTCTTCTTTTCTCCACTCCTGGAATGCCTCAATCAGGACAGGTTGAGATCTCTGGAGCGGGCTCTTCTGTTCGCTTCATATAAAGTAATTTTCATCGTCTACGATATTTCAGCGGGATATATTCTATGTGGTCGACCTCTGAATCTGTTACCACAGTATCTGTATAACATTACTGTTTGTGGTTTCCTGTCTGATGCCAATCTTATTATATGGACCAACAATTTGATGTGTTGTCTATCTATAAGGGTCAGTACTGGTTCTGTGCCGACTCTCCTCCTGATATGATCGTTCCTAAGTCGATTTTTCCTCCTTACATCTAGCATGATAAGTAAACATTTCTTTTCTGTGGTGACTATTTTCCTACTGTCTCTGGAAGACAGGGTCAATGCTTGACACTGATAGCAGAATTTGCCCAGTAAGTATGGAGGCGTGGAAAAGGGTGCTTTACTCTATGCAATATCTACACTTACCTGTAAACTTAACACCTGTGAAGTGTCTAGGAGCAGGGTGTCGGAACACAGGAGCTTAGCCACTTTAAGCACACCTCCACACCCACCGCCAGCCTCTAAAACTATTAAATGGATGGGGTACAAACTGCTACATTTGTAAGGGGGTTTATCTGACACCCAACTATGGGTAGAAGTTTTCTTCTAAGTTTGTAACAATAGGCATGTTGGAAGGGCCCTTTGGGTGCTAGTGAACAGAGCGGAAGCACAGAAGAATCATCAGGGTTTTAAGAGAATTGCACTGCGAGGAATGGCCAGAGGATCTGGTCGACGATCCGCAATCAAGGGAAAGGTGGGACGGATATACATTCATACTGCTAATGGTACCACTCGAATTGGAACTCTGCTATTCCTGCTGAAGATGGGGACGGCTTATGGGAATGTCCCGAGTGCTGTGATGTCGATTCTTAATTAAATATTAAACATTAAAAATACGGGTTACATTATTTTGTATATATCATTATATTTATTTGCCTTCAGTACATCATCATCATCATCATTACCATCACCACCATCATCATAATCATCATCATCACCATCACCACCATCACCATGATCATCATTATCCTCATCATCACCATCACAATGATCATCATCATCATCATCACCATCACCATGATCATCATCATCATCATCATCACCATCCTCATCACCATCACCATGATCATCATCATCACCATCGCCATCATCATCATCATCATCATCATCATCATCACCATCACCATGATCATCATCATCATCATCACCATAACCACCATAATCATCATCATCATCACCATCACCATGATCATCATCATGATCATCATCATCATCACCATCATCATCACCATCATCATGATCATCATCATCATCACCATGATCATGATCATCATCATCATCACCATCATCATCACCATCATCATGATCATCATCATCATAACAATCACCATCCCCATCACCACCATCACCATGATGATCATCATCATCTTCACTGTCATCACCAACACACACATACACCAACAGCTTTCAAGCTGTTCCTGTTTTTCAGCTGAATAAAATATAACGTATTTGTACCTGTAGGTCCAGAGCTAGAGTATGAGCCTCAGCCAGAAGCCTTCTCTGTTCGCGCCTCTCTTTCTCCCACGCCATACCCATGTTGACCTGAATGTCCTTTGACCTCTCCTGTTGTCTGGAGGAGCTGAAGATTCTCTCTTCCAGCTGTTTGGATCAGGAAAAACAAACGTTAAGTTATTGGTGGAATTCTAAAAACAAAGTAACAGCTGTCATTATGATGATAACTGTTTCAGACATCGTCGTCGTCATCATCATCATCAGCAGCATCATCCGTCTTTACTACTAGTAATCAACAACAACAACAGGAAGCACATCATGTATCAACATCATGGCACACAGGTAGGAACCCATAAGTGTTCCGTTTTTCTTCCAACTCAAGTCTGAGTCCGAAGAAGCTAAGCACAGTGCACAGGCTCTGTAGCACAGGCGAGTATCCTGAAATACTTTTGGTAGAGTTTCAATTTCAAATTTTGCCTGGGCAGCGCCGTTAGGCTACTTTTTTCGATCTCCAACTTCCAAGGGATTTTTTACGTGCACAGCAATGCACACTGGCGTCCAATCTCACTACTCAAAGACCAGGGGGAATTACTAGAAGTCCAAGTCTATGTGAAAAAATCCCAGCCCTTACCGGGGATTGAACCCCTGAACCTCTAGCAATCGAGGCGGACACCATGCCTCGAAACCATGTAGCCCCCTCAGAAAGTATTGTGAAATTATAGAACCTAAGTCCATGTAACATGGTGAAGTTAACTATAAAGGGTAATTGCTTATCCTTTACAGGACGTTGCAGAACCAACCCCAACAGCCCTTGGCTGTTGTGTGGTTTCTCTAGGCAAATTTACGTCCAGTAGTTTGCCATTGCCTTCTGGACGGTCGGCCCCCTGATACCTCTGTCGAAACCAACGCAAGGTGCATGGCCTGCAGCTGGCATCGAACCTGGCACCCCGGCATTAAGAAGCGTTCGCATCGACTTAGCCACAGAGCCGACAAAGTTAACTATAGTAACCGCAAAATCATTAACAATGAGGAACAAGGACTGAAGGGCTTTCTAGTTGGTCTTATTACACTTGTCTCTGAGGAGAGGCGGTGTCGTCATTTGAAGGTGACAGGTTCGATTCCCGGCATGGTAACTAGAGTCTTCGAATTGTATGTTGTCTAACATGTCCCTCTTTTTTTTCTGCTCCTTGCTATGAGTGCCCAACCATACATTTCTGCTTGTTTAATACATTTAGATTAACAGTAATTTGATGAGACGGAGAAAACTGGTTAACGTCGTGACTGTAGCAAAGTTGGAGGGGAGTAGAGGCAGAGGGAGACCGAGAAAAAAGATGCTGGACAGTTTGACATCGTGGCAGGGAGGTTCCTCTGTGTCAGAGTTGACTAAAAGTACATGAGACAGAAGGTTGTGGACAGACATGACTAGCAACACCACACGGCATGGACTTTAAGAAGAAGAGCAGTGATTCATTGTAGACACTCTTTCTGGGGTAGTGAAGTGTGTGAGATTACGAAAATCTCATTCTGATGATCATGTCAGATATCCCAGTTAGCATCTAAAGAAGTTAAAACTGAGGCACTTACAGCGGCTACACCAGCCTGATGTAGTTTTCAAACCTGATGATTAAAGGTAAAGTTGGAAAGGATCGACATCATAACACCAGATTATTCCCCATGGCGCTTAGTCTTCATCCCCAGAACGGTTAGCTGCCTGCTGAGAGCATCGCAAAAAGCACGAACACTATAGCTCCAGCGAATATCCCTAGGGATCTCCGTAAAAATGTCAATCGTTAACTGGTGTGAGCCAGATGATATATCCGTTAGTTAGTGAACGAATGTGTTAGTGTATTGAAACCACTGAAGACTGAATACTGAGCGATCAACTTTTGGTGGTTTAATGAGCCACTATTCTGACGAGAGACCCCTAGGTACAGATCTCAGAAGCCCCATTCAACAGTTTAACACAGTTTTATTGGTACACCTCGAAACAGTTACGAGGTAATCGACTGTGGAACAGTCAATGAGTGACGCTCAACCCATTCAAGATCGCACAACGAGCGATAAACACCCCGTGTCACAAAGTGCCACTAAAACACATCAATACTGACTAGACTAATAGGACGTATTAATCGTTACGTGTTGTTGTTAGGGGATTGAATCGTAGATTGATTCGCAGTTGAGAAGTCGAAGGAGACGGACGTTGTTATCCTTGTGTGGCTCATCTCAAGGGAAGGTTTACTCAGTGATCTCACTGAGAAGTTCAGCCCGTGTGCTCAGCGTTACTGCCGTTTCTGCAGGAAGAAGGATAATTTATTATCGAAGCTTTAGCTCAGTGGGATTGCTGGATAGTGTTGAAGAAATGTTGTAGTCGTGTTAACTAGTATTGGACTGCATACTGACCTGTTGAAGTAACCGTTAATGTTTTAAGGTCGAGCTGCTGACCTGTAATAAGCTGATAACGAATCCGATATGGATGATAATATTTCAAGGCGAGTGTGTGTAAGCTAGCGAGTGATCGGAGTGTTTGGGTGAGTCTTGTCCACATATCAAGTGATTTCACATTTTCGTTCAGATCATAGTGTTCACACTACACGAGTGTTGATACTGCATGCATGGCCTTCGTAATTTAACTTACGTTTGGACTTCTTGGAGTTGCCAGAGTTCCCGATAGCCCCTGCTGGTTCCCGACCACTGTTTATGGCAGAAATCATCTTTGACTATTGCCTAGACTTTGCTTGTTGAGTGTATTATGTTATTGCCAGTCACGTTGACTTGTACCTTTATATTGTGAGTTTGTACGTTTCACTGATTCAGCTGCATTTGCCCATATCAGTGGGAGCCTATTATTGTCACGCATTCGCGTGCACGTCACAAACGAAGTCCTTCGCCTGTTTATGGCTGTTTTCCTGGCATGACCATGTCCCAAATAAAAGTGGCACGTCACACCTTCATTCTGATGAAAATTACCAGGACAAAAGTCCCAGAAATCCCGTGCAACCATTAGGCAATATTAGGGCTTCCGACGACAGCCCAGATGGGGCTTTAGAATAACAACAACAACAATAACAACAACTATTGCGTTCTAGTATATTGGGCTGTACATAAGGCGATTAACAAACTCAAAGTTGAAAAGATAGTCAGTTGATTGACGTTCAACCCCGCCAGGATATTACACCAAGCGACAAACGCCAGGTGACGCAAGATGCTACCAATCGGATGAGGATCATCATGGGAGAGGTCCCAGAAACTCGGTTCAACCCAAATGTTGTGTTATATTAGGAACTCCTGCAACAACCAGGATGGGGCTGTAAAATAATGAAAAATTGCGTCCTTTATGGGAACGGGATGTTTGCAATGAAAGAAAGCTAATTCTCTCCACCATGTCATGTTGATCTCCATTTCCGCACACTCTACAGTGTGTTAATTTTTCCAAAGACCACTTGTGGTGCGAAATTTAGAGAGAAAAATTAACGAAACACACAGCTAACACCTGCAAAGGCAAATAAGTGACGTCACCGATATGAGGACACTTCGGAAGTTTGAGGTATCAGTTTTAGTGCACAAACTGCTAGCACCGTGCCAGGTCTACATAGATAAGCACTGACGCCAGTTATCTCCCCTGTCACTTATCATTGGCTTGAAGTTATCTCCACCTGTTATCTAGCACCGGCTTACTACAAACAATCTTCGTGGGTACATCCTGAGATGGGTCGCCAGAATTTAGGGGCTTGAGTAGTCTCTCTCCCCCCCCCCCCCCCACCTACCCATTTTTTAAACCCATCGCTCACCCCTTGATATCAACTATGCAGAGATTTTGTTTTTGTTTTTGGGTTTAATATATGTTTATAAATTTCATATTGTTTTAAGTGTAGTATTACATTTATTTAGAAAATTGTTTCATCCTTAATTTTGGCGTTCTTAGAGCTTGGATCAATATTCAACACAGCTTAATTGAAATGAATTTATTTGCTTGTTCATTTCATTAACTTTTTCATATTTCTCCCCCAATCTTTACATAATCCTTCTTACTTATTTCGTTTCGTATTATAGCCCTTCATATCAAACTCCCCCAGTTAGGTACTTTATGTTTTCATGTTGATCTAGGTTAGTTATTAGCTCTATTGTTTGTCCGTTAAGTTTTCCAGTCACATTTTGTGCTGTATTTACTATTCGGTTGATAAAGATTTTGGTTGAAACGTTCAGTTGTAGTGTGCGTCTTTTCAAGTCCCTCTGTTGAGCTTTCTAGTCACATTTTGTGTTATATGTAGTATTCATTACCGTTATTTCATATTTAGCAAAAAATATCCTCAACACCATTGTCATTATGTTACTGTTGGGCTGTCAAGACATCACACAATGCTGGAAGTGGGTTCCTTCACACCAGCCTATGTTAAGACTTCTCACACCGGGCTGGAAGTGGGTTCCTTCACGCCAGCCTATGTTAAGACATCAAACAGGGTAGGTAGTGGGTTCCTTCACGCCAGCCTATGTTAAGACATCACACAGGGTAGGTAGTGGGTTTCTTCATACCAGGTTATTTTAAGACATCACGCAGGGTTGGTAGTGGGTTTCTTCATACCAGCCTATGTTAATACATCACACAGGTTAGGCAGTGGTGTTTTTTTTTAACGCCAGCCTACGTTAACATATCACACAGGGTTGGCAGTGGGTTCCTTCACGCCAGCCTATGTTAAGACATCACACAGGTTAGGCAGTGGTGTTTTTTTTTAACGCCAGCCTACGTTAACATATCACACAGGGTTGGTAGTGGGTTTCTTCATACCAGCCTATGTTAAGACATCACACAGGGTAGGTAGTGGGTTTCTTCATACCAGCCTATGTTAAGACATCACACCGGGCTGGAAGTGGGTTCCTTCACGCCAGCCTATGTTAAGACATCACACAGGGTAGGCAGTGGAGTCCTTCACGCCAGCCTATACGACGCTGTCTTGTCGATATTGTAAATGAAATCAAACCCATTAATTCATCTCTGGGAGCCGCCTGGTGTAGTGGCTTGACGCTCACCTATTCTTCTGCTTTTCTAAACACAAATGGAGCATAAGACCTCAACCAACTCACGCCAAGTCGTTGTATCCTTCGCTATCGCATGCAGCTCTTCCCATGTCCTCCTCATCTTTTTAACTTAA